GGTATTACACCTCGCTGTGCCAAAGTTGGGCGTGATGGGTATGGAGGCCGGGTTGAGGTGAGCTCTTGGCCCCCTTATCATTAACGCCCCTCGGGGGACTTGCGGGATTAAATCCGTCCCCGCCCGTCCGGCCAGCCTCCCAGATCCCGGGAATCCCGTAATCCACCTCATTCAACTCTGCTCTCCAGTCATCGGCTGCCGCTCTGTCCCGCGCCGCAATGCTGTTTCGGTAATTATCCCGACCACATTTCGCGTCGTCCGGGCTACGCCGACGGCGCCTTTTGGATGACGTTTGGCTTTGGAGGGGATCTTCCTGGATCACGGCCTTTTGGTTGTGCGAGCCGGTGTTTTGGTTCTGCTACGCCGCAAATCAAGCACCAACGTTTTGTTTTCGCCTCCGCGAACCGTGAACCGTTTGGTTTTGGAGAGTATAGGGACCAGGTCGGTTTGGGAGTGGGGGCGGCGTGTGCGAAATAGCTGGATTGTCCCGGCCCGGCTGGTCTGCGGCCGCGCGCGCGCTCCTCTACCTCACCGTGCTCTACCTCGTCGAGACCGCTTCGACCCAATTAGCGGAGTGGCTCTCGAGGTTGGCTCTGACGGTGACAGGGCCGCCCGGGACGGACTGACGGCCGAGCCCGGCGGAGTCGTCCCTGCAGCAGTCCCGCTGCAGGTCCTTGCTGCTGCTGCTAGCAGCGGAGCAGAGCAGAGCAGCTGCTCCGGTAGACGTGCCGAGTGTCCTGGAGGAATGCTGCTTGGTGCGCTGCGCTCCCCGTGTGTAGGCCGCCCGAGGGCCCTTGTGACCTGGTAATCATTAGTGGGACGGAATGGAATTTGAAGAGGTGAGGAGGAGGGGGGAGGGGGGGCTGTGATGATGTGCTGGTCCCTCGGCGAGTACCTCGAGAAATGAGCCCCCACGGACGACGGGTGGGGAGTCGGAGCCTCCTCCTCCTCCTCCTCCTCCTCCCCCTCGGGGGCCGAAAGGGTAGAGGGTGGTATTGGGTCAGCCGGATGGAGCGAAGCGCCCGTGGGGGCGATGGTGTCGCGGGCGTCACGGCTATTGAGGGTGGGGACGGGCACCCGCACCCCAGGAGGATATCCGGTCGCATCCGCGTTGAGCCGTACCCACGTACTAAAACCGCGGTGGGCGACGGAAAACTCGATACGGCGTTGTCGTTATATCCCGGGCCACTTGTCAGGGACATGAATGTCTTACTTCAATTTACTTTTATCTCCACTCCCCAAATGGCTCACTTCCGCGATGACCCACTTCCAACGTACTCGAATACGTTTTGTCCCATGTTTGCGTTTTTGAGAGCGACGAGCGACTCCCGATACTTGTATTCCAGAAAATGGCACTACTGCCACTACTTCCTACCTGGTCATCAAATTACCTCGTGTGTTAAAACAGGCGTCTCTATTTTCTCAGGTGCGTGGCCGGATGTTGGGACGGGAGGCGCGCAGCACACGCCTCAGCGCCCTGGACCCCAACACCCGCTACCTCATCTGCGTCCTGGCGGTCGCGAGCTGGGCCTCGCCGGACCCGGCGGCGTCCGCCAGCAGCGCCGCGACCACCACCACCTCCGCCACCCCGCTCGAGGGGGTGGTGAACGCCTCGAGGATGATCAGGTACGTTGATTCGCTGAGCGGCGCTGACCCGCCCCGCTATGTTACACCTGCCACTTGCTGACTGTCTGTCCTCTCTCGCGCAGTGACGCGGAGCTGCGGCCCGACGGCCACGTGGAGGGCCGGAGCGCGAGTGCGCTGCAGCTCGTGGACTCGCAGACGTCGCGCTGCGCCGAGGTGCGCACCCTGGACGGCGGCGACCCCACGGGCGCGGCCACGGGCTCGTTCCTCACGCGCCGCCTGGGGCTCATCGTGGGCTCGTGCATGGGCTGCGTCGTGTTCCTCATCCTCATCGCCGTCCTCTCCTACACCAAGATACGACAGGTAAGCGCATGATGGTGGTGGTCCGTCGAGGGTACTTCACTATAAACTCAAGCGTACATCATTTTTTCCCGGTTTACCTTTATTTTTTTCTGAGTTTCCCAATTTTTTTCTGATTTTTTCTGGGTTTTTTTTAAATAATGAAATGGTGCACACTGATTTCTTTAAGTGAAGTACCTCTACGGTGGTGGTGATGGTTGTCTCCACGGACGCGCGTCTCTGTCGCAGGGCGCCAAGCGCGCGCAGCAGGAGAGCAGCATGTCCATGTCGTGCCATCCCGTGGCGCTCTACACGTCCCACGAGGACGGCGTGTTCGCGCAGCCACTGTCGCTCAACTCGTAGCGGTGGGACGTGTTCTCCCAGCCGGGCTTCCCCACGGCCGTGACCGCCGCGACGGGCCTCGGGCCCCTGAGCGGCGGCGCCGGCCTCCAGCAGGCCTCGACGCCGGCCTCGTCGGCGCAGAGGTCGCCCCGGGCCATGACGCCCAGGGGGGAGACCCGGTCACTCAGCGACTCCAGCAGCCAGCAGAGGTACTAGGCCTTCTGCGACACGCGTCCGTCCACGCCGCGCCAACGACAAGCACCTCAGCAGCACCCCAAAGACCGGTCCGATGTGCGCCACTCGCAGCGACCACCGTCGGGCTGCCGGCAATGTCACTCGTAAAGTTTGTAAAAGAGCGCAACAGGCGAGTGCCGAGGAGAGAGAACGGATACGAAGGAACTCTCGTCGGAATTGCCGCAGTCTACTTACTCTGTGGCGCACACCGAACCGACCAGCAATCACCTTGTAAACTTTAAGAGAAAAGACGAATCACGGGCACTTTGTTGTTATTATTATGTTTTGTAAATACATAGCTAAGTTATTTATTTTGTCATGTGCATGAAGTTGGAGAAAAAAATCGTGACCTTTTGTGGTAGTAAAGGCGTTATTATAATGTTGACATGGCGAAAACAAAGAAATATCGCCAGTATCGGCAAAGTGGACTCTGATAGTTCCCTTTGGCTTGCGGAGGGTGCACGGTCCGGAGGGTCCCAGCGAGTGATGCGGGGGATACGGCCCCAATCCCGCGGCAGGGCGGCCTGTCGAATCAGGGGGAAAAAACAATCCGGGTCGGATCAGCAACGTGACTGGATTGGGCGCCGCACGCATCACGCGCGCCAGACCTGCACACTCCGCTGTAGTCTTCCCAGAGTAGTTTCGTCTTCCAGACCCACGACATTTTCTTCCCTATAGAATCGCTCAACTCTGACACCGTAATGAAACGATTTGTGGACTTTTCTCTCGGAGTTCCCGCGCTGCCCGCTTCCTCTTCCCCTACTCCCCCTTTTGAAAAAATATTGGCAAGTCCAAAGTATTTGCGGGAACTCTGAGAGAACCTCCACAGTTATTAGTGACGTTTAAATGAAAACATTAGCCGAGAAGAAAATAAGAGAGTGTGTATCAAATATACTTAGGTCGGTCTTAAATTGTTCACGGTCCTTTCGACGGACTGCTACTGAGTACCCGTTCGCTGCAGGGAATGACTGCCTCAGGGCCGATGAGAACGCGACGGCGAAGAGGGAGAACTTTCATAATAAATCGATTTTGCCGCCGCCGGCGGGTTTAGCAAGGGCGCGCAAAATCCGCGCGACTGGCCACGCCAAAAAGCGGCCCCCGCTCCCCCTTCTCTCTCCCGCGCAGACTGTGTATTCGCCACGTTAGCGCCGATGCCTCCCCCCTCCTCCCCCCCCTTACCCACGGCGCATCCCTCTGCTTCGTGGTCAACTCTCCCCATTGAAAGCCATGGCGTGGAAACTTTGCGCTTGCGTGAGGGGGGCTGCGGGGGTGGAGAGGGTTGCGCCGGGCCGGGCTCTGGTGGCTGGACCATTCTCGCAGCATTATGGGTACTCAGGCAGCACATAACCTTGAAGTAGATCGTTCCGGCAGAGAGACCGCAGTAGTGGGAAGGTGCGCTGCACCCGGCGCTGCACAGAAGCAGAGCCGAATAAATAGAATTATTACAATTGTAGAGTCCGCCGAGACGACACACACAACCACACAGAGGGCGCATGCACTGCGCGCCAACCCGGCCGCCCTTTTGGAGAGGCCACACGTTATTCTGATGCCAGTCATCTTTTGGACCCTCGTGTCCAATTTACTGTTTTGGCGTTATAGCTACAAGCTGCTAGGCTACAGCAAATTTCAGTTGTATAGTTGCTCAACGTTTTCAACGAAACCAAATTGCTATCGGTGGATCAGAATCAATACAGCTAGTATACTTTTATGTTCTGATATTTCGAAAGCCTGTTATCTCACAGTTTTGATTCAAATATGTAGAAAATTCGATGAAAAAATTTGTGAACTTGATTCATTCCATCCAACGCTAGTAACAAAAAAAATGCCTTGAGGCAAAGGCATAGCTTTGGTGCTATTTCTCACGGCTACCTGGAGTGCTGTTTTGCCTCCACTGAGGTATCCCTGTAACAGAGGGGCGTTGCTTCAGCAAGACGGTCGTTCAGCTGTTGTCGCTCAATGGGAGAACACGCTAAACTCACAACATTACTGTTGTTTTAAAATGTCTCGACAATTTTATATTTTTACAGTGAACTCCATCCTTAACGAGCTCAGTGTCGCAACAGATCATTTTAGAATCTGTTCGATTTTGAAAAAAAAATTGCATTTTGTACTTTTAACTCTTCAATACTTTCCATAGTTTTGTTCGTGTCTCTTCTAAACTGCCGGCTCTGTCTTCTTTACGTCAATGACTACAGTCATGTGTGTAAAAAGACGATACGCGCAACTTTTTTTCCAAAATTTATTAAGTAGCTGAGAGTGTAGTTTTGTACTCGGCATTGTTTTTTACCTCTCAGGAGCTTGCATCCAAAATCGCCCCAACATAGCTTTGCGAAGCCCAAATCCCCTTCCCGCTCGAATAATTATTCCTTTTAAACTGAAGTAAAAAATTAATGAAAACACGTAACATGAACAAGCTCAAACGGTAATGATAACAATAATACACACGTTTAATTTACGAATCTAATTTCCCGTCCCCTGTCCTGAGAGTAAAACGCGCCTGGACATTAAATTATCCCGCCATTCATATCCAAACAGATTGCCTCGCCGCGTTGCTCGCCCATGCCTCTCCCCCCCCCCCACGCTCGCGAATACCATTTTTGCTGGCATGATGGCTTGACGAAAATTACTCCCCTCACCCTTCCCCCAACCTCTGGCCTCGCCCCTGGCCCTTGTGTAGCGCAGTGCAAATTAAGGCTGAGCGCCCCGGAAGGTAGGCCGACCCGACTCGGCCACTGCGCGCTACGCCCCGCCACGTTCCGGCTCGGTTTTGTGGTGCGCTCCCAGCGCAGACCTTATTGGGCCTGCCGCCATTCCTCTCCCAGTTTAAGTGTATGATATAAACTTTGTTGCTGTTAAAATTTGTAAAAGTTCATATAGTCTTGATGTAAATTGACTAAATCGTATAAACCGGCCGTAAGCCCCCGCATAAACGTGATGTTCTAATCATGACGCCTAAACTGACCGACACTTCCTTTTAATCTTATTTCAATCATACGGCCCTTACACTGTACTGTGCCTTGTTGGTATTGATATAAATCTAAACGAAATTTTACAACCGGGACTATAAACTTTGTGACTTATAAAAC